TCTGGGAGTTGAAGTCCACTCATCTTAAAGTGGCCAAGTTTGGACAACACTGACATATGTAGTTCATTCTTAGGGGAAGGAAGTATAAGAGATGATTTTAAGGTGGAGATAGGGAGGCTGACATTCTAGGTGTGATTCTTTGCTATCAAAAGCTAACTAAACCAAAATGGAGAGGGAAATTATCCTGTCCTTCAAGAATGCATTCAACCCTCCTTTAGAACAGTGTTTTAAAAATGTGGTCTCTCTCTTGTTTCCTGCAATAGCTCAAATCATGTTTCCCATTTTGGTGCATTCCGCTGCATTTTGCTGGATGGTTCCATTTTCCTCCTCCCCTCACTCTAGCTCCTTCCAGATTCAAGAATTAGGAACTTTAGAAAAGAGATGGTTCTGGGCTTGACTTTCGAGTAAATGCCAAAGCAGCTATCCAGGTCCCATTATCTCCTGGAGATACAGAGTAAGATTCTGCAGCTAAGTGAAGGAATCATCTTGAATGTTCCTTCGTCCTAATTTGTAGATGTTTCCTGGGGGTGGAAACAATACCTGGGCATCTATGCACAATCACCAGGAAAAACATGTTTTCTCTTAGTTAGATGGGGCAGGAGTGTCTAGAAGATAAAATTCAAAAAGGAGGTCCAAGTTTGAAATGCTAATAAATCACTGAAGCATTTACTATTTCTTATTGCAACAGTATAGAGCAGTGTTTCTTAAAGTGTGGTCCTAGGACCTCTGGGGGTCTCCCAAGTCCTTCTCAGGGGTTAACAAAATCAAAATTATTTGCCAGCCTGTATTGAAAAATAACACCATATTAAAATCCTATCAAACAATCATGAGAAGCAGTAGCGGCAGTGAATGCATCAATTTTAATTTTTTATATGGTAAATATCAATAAATATAACCCTTAAAAAACAAAAGCTCTTTTGGGGTCCTCCATAATTTTTAAAAGTGGGAAGGGGTCCTGGGAGAAATAGTTTAAGAAACACTGGTATAAGGCAGTGTTTCTCAACCTCAGCAACTTTAAGAAGTGTGGACTTCAATTCCCAGAATTCCCCAGCCAGCATGCTG